CGTGTACAGGGGGGAACACACTTTCTATACTGCTCGCTCATTTTGTTTTTTTTATATATATATATATATAGTGAAAAACTCCTGACAAAATCAGACAAACACAATCGAAAGATATCAGACACACACAGAAGCTGGTGGCTTGTGTATTCAGGGGATATTTATAGCTTCCTGGTCGGTGACGTCACTCGCTGTGACGCTCCATTGACTGATTTCATTCATGCTTCAGACGCGCTATGCTGGGGGGCGTTCCCACTGCGATTACACGCAGCGGTAGTCCCTGAAGGGGAACTGGTGAATGCAGTTTACAGGTTTCATAGAAAGATGATGTGAGCGCGTGTGATTGGCAGTGAGCCGTGTGTGCGGACCAAATAGCTCAATACGAGAGGCAACGAGAAACTCATAGACGTGCAATAAAATCACATCATCATGTTTTAAAGAAGAGTGGTTTGATTAAAGTGGTGGAAATAACGGTTGATGAACACAGAACGGTAACACACCCACCCGCGTGCAAACTCAAAATACATTAGTTTAAATAGATGTTTTTGTGTGTGGGGGAGTTTCAGGCATGGTTAGATTATAAAAGAGTTCACATTCACTTTTCTTGAAAATATTTAGCTATTAGATCTATTTAAATGCTTCAGTTTGTTTTCATATTAAAATAATATAATATGTAAACAAATTGAAGCATTTAAACTGATATATTATATCACTTCAAATACTTGAATTCGTTTTTTTATATTATATTAGGCCTATATTTTATTATATTATAATCCTAAATAAAGAATCTCACAAGGGTATTGTTTAGGGCTCCTTGCCATTAAAAGGTTTGAAACCCCCTGCTAAAGAAAATATTGGAAATTCATAAGCAATAAACAATCATTTAACTTTGATGATTTAATGCTTCCTGTATACAATTAATTCACTCTACAAAAACACTTTATGGTTTTCCCAAACTATCTCAGTGTAACAGCTTAATTTTCTTCCATACTATATTCTATTATTGTAAAGAATTGAACTGTCCTGCAGAAGATTTTGTAAATTATTTTTCATAGGATTTCTTGGTAAAGACTGTACAGTTAACAGCACTGTAAAAAAAAAAAAAATCAGGTAACCTAAAATGTGCTTCATTTAGTAACTTCTTAATTTGTTAAGAAGCTTGTTTTCGAAGTTGCATCAAGGGTCAAATAACATAGAAATGGCACATTCAAGTTAAAAGTTACAACTGAATGTTGAAACCATTGTGTTTCTACGTATGCTGTACAGGTCGAGTATAAAGAATATTTTTGCTCAGGTGGCGAAAAATGTCCGCCCAATAGAAAAAAGTTTTGCTCAGCAAGAAAAAAAATTAGAGGGAACATTGCTCCCACGTCCTTATTTACTGGCGTGAGGGTGAGGCAACCTGATCGCTGATGGATAAGTTCAAGTCCTGCCCCATTTTCTTTCTTGTTCGAGAAGCTGTTTTATGTAGCTCAGAAATATGTCACAATAGGCCTTATTCAGTGCAGCGCCATGACGGGTATGAAAGCAAGGTTGTGAGAGATAGACTTACTGTATTTTCAATCTCATCGTAGATCACTTATAATTTTCCACAGCTCATGGTGTGTGGACTTTTTTGTCTACTGAAATTCCTTGGAAAGGTATTTTTGCAGTGTTTTGTCGACAGAACAATCCAAATACACATTAAAAAACAGTACAACCCACTGAAGAGATGTACCTATGGCTATGTCTATCCCTCACAGCCTCGCTTTCATTCCCTTTAAAAATCAAAGATGGCACTGCTGTAAGGTCAATAGGTGAGAAAATATTATTGCAATTTGTGTTTTATGCTGAAGGTCAGACCCAGTTTAGATTTAAGATTGTACTTTGTAAAATGATGTTCGATGAAGTGTGGTCTGTGATTAAATTGAAACAAACACCAAAAAGACGCACATTTTCTGTAGAAATGGCCATTTGATAATTTTGGACCATATGTCATCTTAGTGACTTTAATTTGAGACCTTCACACCACTTGAGATGTGAGGCTTTTTTGTCCTTTTCTGTCTAGTATTCCAGAAAGGACAAAGTGCCTCACAATTGTACATATCCATGCTCTCTACCCTTCTACCCGGCTTTAAAAAGAATTGTGAATGAATTACCAATGTCAAACAGCTGCCTCTGTAGCTGTTTTTATTTTTTTAACAACATTTATAGAGTACACAAGTTGCCAATTTTGAGCTGGAAAATCCAGAATAGGATAACAGTGTACTTCAGTACGCTTAAGCACAAGCCTGTGGACCTATTGAATGCGTTTCCAAGCAACACACAACAGGGGACTTCTGGGTAAAATAATAAAGGCTAAAATGTGCTGTTTTTTCTTTGCTAGTCAGAGTTTGCACTATTATTCCAGGAAAACATTACTTTGAGGGAGAGTTTGCACTATTAATCCAGGAAAACATTACTTTGAGGGACAGTCAATAGGTTGTACTTTTGTGTAAATTGTTGTCAATCATTAGAAAGGAACGTATTGAAAACGTCTTTCCAAAAAGTATTCTCTAGTGCAGAAACAACTGTACAGCCAATAAACCAACTGTATCTATCCCTCAATTACTTGTTTCCATTTGCATCACCCTATAGCATCTACCCTGAGGTTTCCTTTGTTTACAATCTGCCAAACACAGTAAACCAGGATTCCCACACCTTTTGGCCAATGATTTTTAATGTTTGTGATTTTTGGCTAACTATTTTAAAAGCCATTTTATAAAGTTTGAAAATAATTGTGCTTGTTACATCAGCAATTTCATTCTTTGAAACATCATCAGTGTCTTCTTTTAGGACAGTCATCATGTCAAAACAGGAAAACTTAGGAAGGAAAGCTTAGTGGCGTCTTATTTTCTGGGAAAAGACCCTAATTTCTTGGAGGTAGTTTTTAGTCATGACTGGATCAAGAACATCTGGGAGAATTAGGCCTAAGTAATTTTTCTCAAATGCCATCTTATGTATCCCTTTAAAATATATATTTCACTTTAAAGAATAATGAACCACACCTCCCAGAAACTAGTTGATAATTCGAGACTCAAAAAGAATACAAACTGAGCTCTGCAAATTTATGGCAATTTAGTGTTTTAAGATGCAAAACTTCTGTGTATGTGATCTGTGTTTCTTCTCGTGGTGTTTTTTTTTTTTTTTTTTGTCTAGTCAATAATCGATTGTGATGATGTCTAAACGTTTGAGAGTCAGGAGTTCAGTAGACATCATGACCCCTTCATAGAGTCATTTCAATAATAATCCGATCTCGGTAGAGGAAATCTTTAAACGCCAGCGCTAAACATTGTCAGCTTGTCAGTATAAAATATGCATTCACTTTCTTATTAGCTTCGACATTCTGCCTAACGCCTTCTTTTTTCTGTTTTGGAAAAGACAAGAAGGTTAGTCGATGAAAAGTGTTTAATTTATGGGGAAATTACCCCTTTATCTTCCTCTTTATTTAATAACTATTCAAACAAGTAGAATTTATGTCAAGTCAAGTCACATTCATTTATATAGCGCTTTTTACAATACAGATTGTTTCAAAGCAGCTTTAGAGAGATAACAGGAAATAATGCAACAAAGTTTGTTTCCAGAAGAAAACAGTGTCACAGTCCAGCTTAAGTAAGTTCAGTGATGTTTCATTTTTGTTTAAAAAAAGTTATTAATTTAGTTCATTTATATATATATTTATATATAGTCGCTATGGAGTAAACCGTGATGTCATCGTCCAGCTCAGTTCAGTTCTTGTATAATAATGTCAATGCAGGCAGATCTATATTCTTTGTTGAATATTAAATTAAATGTTAAATTTAATGTACCCAACTAAGCAAGCTAAGCCAATGGCAACAAAAGTGGAAAAAGGCAACAGTGGCAAGGAACCAAACCTCCATCAGGTGACAGAATGGAGAAAAAAACCTTGGGAGAACCCAGGCTCAGTCGGGCCAGTTCTCCTCTGGCCAACAAACGAGCAGTGTATGATTGATTATGATTCAGGCTGCATTATAGGACAGAAGTCAGATTGGTTTGGAACAATCAGAATATTATCCAGTTCCATCTGGTTTAAGATCAGAGACATCACGCCGGTATGGAGACGAGTTTGTTGAGGACCAGTGCTAATGGCTGTCGTATTGATCAAGCCTTCGATGAGAGTCTAGTTGACACAATTTCTGCTGACACTTCAGGGATGGGTTGTGGTCGTGACTCGTGTCTAGGTGTCCCTATTACGCTATTTTAAAGGTTCCTAATTTTGTTTTGAGATCTCCTGCAATAGGTTTACATGCATCCAAGATCAAAAAAACACTTTAATTTTCTCATAATATACATTGCAGCGTCAGCTCTTTTCTCAAAGTGTCTTGGATTTGGTCACTCTGAACCCCTCCTTTCCGAGAGCCTACTGTGATTGGTCAGATGGCTCAGTCTGTTGTGATTGGTCCACCGCTTACAACACGTGTTGGAAAAGAAACGCCTATTACCATATCTGAATTTCAGATCCAGACCTTTCTCAGCACTTGTATACACACACACACACACACAGTGATACGAAGAGTAACGTGGGCGTCAGTTTTACAGTATAAATTCATCCTTTGGAAGTGCGGTAAAGTGGATTTGCATTCGCAGCACAGAAGACAGCATCTTCTCCACATGTTGACAACACGAACCAAACTCTTCCAGGCCTCAGCTACAACTACAGTGTTTGAGGGCGGGTCAAAGTAGACCTTGTTCGAGGGAAGCCAATGAAGACCATAGGCGGGCATTATGCAAATTTGTTACAAACCTAGGTGCTTTAAAGTATTACTAGATAAAATAAGAATTTGCATTTATTAGGAACATGGATAATCCCACTCTGATCAATCACATCTTCATACAGCAATCCAGACTGTGAAGAAAAAGATTGCTAAATGATGTTTTACTGCAGAATGTCGTGATTGACCAATCAGAATCAAGTATTCCACAGCATCTCATTATCATAATCTGAGCAAAACACTCGTACTCACCACCAGGTTTCCTATGACCATGACCAGCATGAAGACCAGAATGCAAAGCGGCTGTCCAGCTACCTCCATACAGTCCCACATGGTCTCGATCCATTCCCCGCACAAGACCCTGAAGACGATGAGGAACGAGTGGAAGAAGTCCTTCATGTGCCAGCGAGGAAGGGTGCAGTCATAGCTGATCTTGCACACGCAGTCCTGATAGTTTTTTCCAAACAGCTGCATGCCGACCACAGCGAAGATGAAGACGATGATGGCCAAGACCAGCGTCAGGTTCCCCAAAGCACCCACGGAGTTACCAATGATCTTTATCAGTGTGTTGAGGGTGGGCCACGATTTTGCTAGTTTAAAAACTCTCAGCTGAGGACAAAATACAGAACATGTATCAATATAGTTAACATGAAATAAAAATAACCCTAATTAATTCAGTAAATTCTTTCTGGTCTTATCATGCTTGTTTGATTCCAGACTAAAAAAAACGCCTTTCAGTATCGGCTGCTTTTTTTCTCCTTGAATATCTCAAGAAATACATCAGATTTCAGAAGCTGTGAATGCATTCGTGTTGAATTAAATTGCGAGATATGTTTTGGCTGTACTCTATAATCTCTCTCAAATTATTAAATTAATAATCCAAATTGCAAACCATCAGATTTTGTATGGCAATCAAATACATATTTCCTCATGTAAATGCATCTAACTGGTCATTTTATTTGAGCTAAAGCATGACCTATATTTAATTTGCAATGCGACTGATGTCGAACCAAAAGAAAGTTATAATCCACTTTTTGAGATGTCAACTCTAACATATTTAATCTCACTAATGGATAAAGGATTACTGCCCAGCCAAATATGCACATGTGGGTGAAGCCATGAAAGAGTCAAATTTTTAATGTACACACAGCGCTGCTTAACTACTGTTTTTATTGTCACAATATAAAGGGATGTTAAAAGCACTGTGCAGCTTTAATCTGTTAATGAATTGTAAGACGCTTGAGGTCACGTGGGGTCATACAAGTCCCGATGGACTCTGCGTGCCACCTTTGTCACGCGCACTGTTTTTCATCACATGAATACAGATGTGTCGATGGGCTATCTGCACTAATGGATTCAGTGTGTGTCAAATACACTTATGCCTCTTAATTACAGACTACAGTTTTAGAGCCAAGGATCAAGATCAAGTGTGAAATGATGCCCATTTTTGGTTTTGGGATAGTACAAATCTTAATTGTGTAAATCTATGGTGTTTTTTTCTTTCTTTCAAAGCTGTCATCTTTGAATGATGCATACTAATATTCAAAGCAATGTATCAAATATTCATGATATTCACAGTAATTTTGCTGGCAATATAAAATTAAGTAACACTGAAATTTTATTTCATCTTTATGGTTTTAATGCGCTTTTTAGTTGGCCATTAAGTTTTCTAATGACATTAAACTAGTTTCATGATCCTTTCATGTCTTGAGACCCATAAGTATGTGAGTGTTACGATAATTTGCTGATTTTCAGCCAGCTTTGTATTGTTACAATATCTGCAGCATATTTAAATTAAAATATGAGCAGGGATACCTGATCCCAGATATCCCTGATCATTTGTCAGCAAATTCCACCGAATGACACAAAACAAATAATTTTGCATCATCTGGTGGACTTTCGACAGCTCCAGGGCTTTTTTAAACATCAAATCGACAGAGGGGTGGCACCAAAATCAAAAGTGCATTGTGAGTATTGAAGGTTCAGGCAAAAGGGAACACCACAGCCCTTTTTCTCAGTTTTCTCTGGTCGCGTAGCAGTATTTTTTTTTTTTTTTTTTTTTTTTGCCTCTCTACAGCGTAGATAGCCAAGTTATATCAAAAGCCCTAGCCTGGGAAAACCCAGACAACTGCCAGCAAATTTAGATTTGCTCTGAAAGTTAGTCTGGCAAAGAGCTCATTCAAGCTCATTTCCAATCCGTCGAAATCGAGGCACCAATCAGAAACGTTGGGGCGGGCTTTACACGATGACGACAGCGCTGGGATTTTGAAGCAGATTTTGTAGCCTACATTACAAAGATGGATGCCGCCGTCGAACATCACTCGTTCGCATCAGCTATCGCGTCTGTTTTAAGCGATTTGAACGTTTCCTTTTACTTAAAAACCGAGCAAAGAACAACACTCGGAGATGTTTCTCCGCCGCTCTGCATACGTCATCTCCTGCATCGCTCTGATTGGGTTTAGGTCTATCCGCGACGTCCGTTGGTGACGCCCCTCTGGAAATGATTTGTCTATGACGCTTTGCCAGACCATAACTCAGTTACAACTGAGAATGGTCTGGTTTTAACCAGGCTACAAAAGCCCATTTTGCCAGCAGTGAATTCCCCCTTTAACTGATTCAAAACTCTGATTCAATGATTCGCTCAAAAATATTGACAGGTCTCTTATGGCATTCTCATACATTGTGCATGTGACAATCCACTGCTGTCCTAGAGAATTTAATATGTCTATTTCCAAGCAGGATCAAAACTTACCAGTCTGAACGAGCGAAGGACAGACAGACCCTCCACATTGGAAAGGCCCAACTCCATCAGACTCAAACTAACGATAATTCCATCAAAGATGTTCCAGCCTTGCTGAAAGTAATAGTACGGATCCAGAGCAAAGATCTTCAGCATCATTTCCGCTGTGAAGATTCCAGTGAACACCTGGTAAGCAAGAACAAAACTTACATTAAAAATTATACTCTACAGGTCAAACGTTTGGAATAATAATAATAACAAAAGAAGTGTTTTTGAAAGATGTCTATGCCTGCCAAGGCTGCATTTATTTGACCGAAAATATAGTCAAAACAATAATATTGTGAATAAAAATAATAAATGTTGTTCTTCTGAACTTTTTATTCATCAAAGAATCCTGAACAAAAACTGTATCAGTTTCTGTTGGCGCCAAAAGACTCGTCGGCAAGAGCCGACATGTAGTGCCGTTGTGCTTCGGGCAACTTGAGTCCCGGCTCGTGGACCATTCCCGATCCCGCATCCCCTCCCCTCTCTCTCTCTCTCTCTCTCTCTCTCTCTCTCTCTCTCTCTCTCTCTCTCTCTCTCTCTCTCTCTCTCTCTCTCTCTCTCCCACTTCAATTCCTGTCTAGCTACTGTCCTAATAAAAGGCAAAAATGCCAAAAAATACATCTTTACAAACAAACTGTATCAGTTTTCACTTGATATTGTTTTTGTCCAGTTATTTTTGTGTACATTTTGGGAAATCGCATAAAGAAAAACACTGGATGGAAACACCAAGATGTGCAAAAATTAAATAAATGAGCATAAAAAAACGTATGCACGAATCAATTGAGGCAGATACATTTTTCTTATCCGATAAGACGACGTGCATAAACATTTACCAAATAAATCCCTCAATGCTCAACAAAAAACTCACATGACTTTCTCTCAACAGTGGATGTGATTGAATAACTGTTCTAACCAGTGGACTAATCATTGCACATATCTCAAAAGTTTTAATCATTCTGAAATTCCTGAGCCAAAGTCTGTCGACAGAATGATTCAGTTTAATTCCCGAATCCCTCCCAGAGGTGTCACATGATTGCGTCCCCAAACACCAGCATCCGAACGCAAGAGAACATGATAAATGCGTTTAATGCGTTTCGTCTGCACGCTCTGAGACTCAAGTCATTTATGATAGCTTCCCCGATTGCAGCAACTTCCATTTTTATTACAGATATTTTGTGCCAATTTCCTAGGAAACAACAATTTTGTTCCCTTGAACACATGGGATGGGAACACATGGGATGGAAACCCATGCCTCATTCGCAAATGTTTTACTCCAATTTTGTTTGATTCTGATATTCCAATTTAGCGCACAAGTTAAATTTGCAACTTTGGATGGAAACATAGCTATTTATAATAATAAGAAATGTTTTTTTGAGCAGCAAATCAGCATATTAGAATGATTTCTGAAGGATCATGTGACACTGAAGACTGGAGTAATAATGCTGAAAATGTTGCTTTGCAATCACACTAATAAATTACATTTTAGAATATATTTACTTATAAAACAGTTATTTTAAATTGTAATAATATTTCACAATATCAATCAAATAAATGCAGCCTTGGTACTGTAGGCCAGTGGTTTAATTCTACAGATTCAGAAGAAGTGAAGAAACAGGGCTGGTTGAGATGCTCAAACAAACCACGTTTTTCAGAGCGCCACTTTTACTGTAATTGTCCTCACCAGGTTTCCAACACTCAGCATGCTGTTGAATTCATCAGTCATGGGATAGTGCTCCAGTGCCATGAACAATGTGTTGAGAACAATGCAAATGGTAATTGCAAGGTCCAAGAAGGGGTCCATCACCATGACTTTAAGTGCGTCCTTCACTCTCAGCCAGGCTGGAGAACACGTCCAAATCAGGTACTTCTTCGCAAATTCATACCAGCATGGAGGACATTTCTGATGGGCCTCTTCAAGTTCTAAAAGAAGAGATGGAAAACAATAAATAAGTAACATTAAGGACGTTAAGCTGATAGTTGATATTTTAGGCATCTAAATCAATAGATAAATTGTTTCTCCTTGAGGGCAGTGAGATTAAAGCGAGAGCAATCAATGTTCATTTTTGCTTCTCACTATTTGTCTCATGAGAAAGAGTTTAAGAAGAGAGTTCAACGGTCTCAAACTGTGCTAAGATTTGTTGAAGCTGCCGTCGGCAACATTTTTTTGATCATATTCAGTGAAATCGACACTATAATCCGACAGAACAACATAAATAAAGTGGTTTTAGAAAAAAACCCGAGCTTCTAACTCCACCTGGAGCGTGTTATTTGTTTTGCAAAAATCCACAGCTCCCGGATCATCGGATCCAATCAGCGCAGGGGGGTGTGAGATCTGACTGTCAATCACAGATCGGGCACACGCCACCCCTCGCGCACATTACAATCACATGCACACGCCGGAAGTTCGCGCAGTAACGAAGAGTGATGGCGGATGTATCTCGCTTTCAAAACACTAACAAATCAAGTAAGCTCATTTAGAGTATAAATGACGTTAGCATTTGCAATCTATCGGTAGATTAGCCAGGGCAGCATACCTCCAAATACTCCATGGTGTTCACAGAAAATCTGGTGCACACGCACTGACGAGCAAGAACTCGGCGGGAGGGTATCCGTTGATAGTGGGGGAGGGGCATGAGAGTTGTAAACATTCAAAATTTTGCCTAAGTCCACTCAATCTGCCAGACTTGCCGACTGCAACTTTAAGATACCAAAGTGTGCAAACTAAGAAAAGTTAGAGATCTCAATGTGAACTCAAATATTTCTCATAAAATTCTTCTAAAACCAAATGATCTACTACTGATATGATCTGATATCCACATTGATACTCTCACATCTACTGCTGCGTCCCAATTCGCATAATATCCGTCCAAAATAGTATTCGAAAATAGAATTAGTACGTCCCAAATCGTAGTATGCTGAAATGAGTGTTCCAAAGATACCTGGATGGTCTACTATATATCTGAGGTGCAGATCGATGCACACTCTAACGGCTGATATTGCCCACAACCCATCGCGCGTTGGACGAGGATTCGGTTAGAACTACAAACACGAGTGAAAAGTGTTAAAAAAAAACTACAGACATGGAGGACGCGCGAGTCCGGCGGTTATGTAGAGAGGTTTAGATAAAGGGGTCTGTCTGAGTGACTAATTATCAGTATCTAACCTGACGAAAATGTATTTATTCAATGTTGTCCACATTTTATTGCATCTGCAGCAGCATTGTGAACTTTTGTAAAGATACGTTTATAGCCATTAACTTTTAAATGCATCATTACATTCAAATTGCAAACACATGAGGAGATTCTCCGCATGAAAGACCCACGACTGGCAGATGATCGTGCGACTACATTTCTCTCCGAAACTGTAGGAAATTAAATTAGATTGAATGGAGGATTTTAACGAGATGATTGACAGGGCAGTTTACGGTGACAGGATGATTCACAGGGCAGTTTACGGTGACAGGATGATTGACAGGGCAGTTTACAGTGACAGGATGATTGACAGGGCAGTTTACGGTGACAGGATGATTGACAGGGCAGTTTACAGTGACAGGATGATTGACAGGGCAGTTTACGGTGACAGGATGATTGAAAGGGCAGTTTACGGTGACAGGATGATTGACAGGGCAGTTTACAGTGACAGGATGATTGACAGGGTAGTTTACAGTGACAGAATGATTGACAGGGCAGTTTACAGTGACAGGATGATTGACAGGGCAGTTTACAGTGACAGGATGATTGACAGGGCAGTTTACGGTGACAGGATGATTGACAGGGCAGTTTACAGTGACAGGATGATTGACAGGGCAGTTTACGGTGACAGGATGATTGACAGGGCAGTTTACGGTGACAGGATGATTGACAGGGCAGTTTACGGTGACATGATGATTGACAGGGCAGTTTACAGTGACAGGATGATTGACAGGGCAGTTTACGGTGACAGGATGATTGACAGGGCAGTTTACAGTGACAGGATGATTGACAGGGCAGTTTACAGTGACAGGATGATTGACAGGGCAGTTTACAGTGACAGGATGATTGACAGGGCAGTTTACGGTGACAGGATGATTGACAGGGCAGTTTACAGTGACAGGATGATTGACAGGGCAGTTTACAGTGACAGGATGATTGACAGGGCAGTTTACGGTGACAGGATGATTGACAGGGCAGTTTACAGTGACAGGATGATTGACAGGGCAGTTTACAGTGACAGGATGATTGACAGGGCAGTTTACGGTGACAGGATGATTGACAGGGCAGTTTACGGTGACAGGATGCACGCGACAGAGCTGTCCGTTAAATATGATGAAGTAGTATGTCCCAAAGCTTGCCTATTCTTTTGCTACACACTCAAAAGTATGTACTTTTTCTTCACGAAAAGAGTACATACTTTTAGGGCGTAGTACAAGTAGGCGAATTGGGACGCAGCACATGTCTATTCTTCTACAGCATGTCAAAAATTCTCTCATTTGTCTGTTTTTTTTTATTTTTTTATAATTTTCGTCCATCACACCGTCCATGGCGTCACTGAAGAAGCTGACAGAGCTCAGTCCTCTCTTCCTGTGAGGGGGCGGGACGTCCTCCTGCATGTCGACAGTCAGCTTGCCAGCTGCAGGGGTCTGTTCAGTCTGACACACTGACTCCTGTCAATCAAAATGAACATCAAAACATCAAATCCTAGTGAACTCCCTTCTGAAGCAGCATAAGCGCTGAGACTAGCAAATCTCAACTGCTTGATTGTCATTTTGTTGAAAAATTTAAACTATTTTATCGACCAGCGAAATAATAAAAGTTGGATACATATTATATCTAACTTTATCTGCATACATACAGTACACTAATGGAAAGCAGTATATATTGTATAGCCTGATTTTTCTTATTTTCATTGCAAAATGTAACTATATTTTCTCCAGTTATTGTACTCCTATTTATCCGCGTACATAGTACACTCACATAGCAATATATGCTATGAAGCAAATCTCAACTGCATGACTGCTTGTATCATCACAAAATGTTAACTATATTACCGCCCAGCTCTAATCTGCTAAATGTAACTATAAGACATGAAAATATTAAGACATTATAAATATTTACATCATGATTTTCTGTAAAACTGCTTTGAATCAATGTTTATTGTGAAAAGCGCTATACAAGTCACCAATTTGACACAAGCTGCCAAGCATGCATACACATATTGGTTAAAACAGTCCATTTTTAATTGGATTGAACTTTTTTAATTGATATTTTTCAGCATAAAATTATTATTACTGCACTTATTATTTCACTGAGATTGTTGCAATGCATTCCTTACTAACTTTTGGGACAAAACCATCCACTCTGAATGAAATCAAATTGGATAGACTTGTCTGGACATTCTCCTCGATAACTACTTTTGTGTTCTTTGGAGGACAAACATACAGGTTTTTTAATCAATGTAAATGTGGTGTGATGCAGATAAGACCATACCGTGCCCTCCTTGACCTGCTCCATACTGAACGCTGGAAAAGAGGTTGGGGTGTGCAGGCCGATGCTGGTGATGCCGTTCTGGTCCAGAGAAAGGTTCAGTCTGCCGTTAAGAGTGAGGGTGGGCGTGAACACCTGCGAGGAGTGACTCCTGATGCTGCCCGTACGCCGCTTGTGCCACGGAGTCGCCATAGAGCCCGCTCGGCTCCGGCCCGCATCATGGATGCTGTGTTCGTCGTCTGCAAAGTCGGCCTCGGAACTGTTGCGCGGCCGGAAGGTAAAGATACTGAGTTGGCTTCCATGACGAGTGCTCAGAGGATGAGAGGAGAGAGTGGCTAGCAGAGGGTGAGCTGGCTGGAGGACAAGAGTTTGTTTGAAAGAGAGATTAGAACTAGGCAGATGATATAAAACATTCGTATAGCAAGACAGAAGCAGTTTTATGTGGAAAATATGGTATTTTTATACTTTAGGTTAAGTGCGCTATTTATTTTTGTATAAACTTTTTAATAAGATTTTATATACAGTACACTGGCAGTCAAAATTTTGGAATAATTAATATTTTAAGACACACAAGTCTCTTACGCTTAATATTAATTAAGAAATATTCTGAAATATTATTACAATTTAAGATAACTCTTTTCTATTTGAATATATTTTCAAATGTAATTTATTCCTGTGATCAAAGCTGAATTTTCAGCATCATTACTCCAGTCTTCAGTGTCACATGATCCTTCAGAAATCATTCTAATATGCTGATTTGCAATTAATTGACATTGGTAATCAATTTTTAATAATAGTTCTTATTATTATCAATGTCACTGCTTAATATTTTTGTTATTATTGTTATTTATTATTAAAATATCAGGATTCTTTGATGAATAGAAAGATAAAAAGAACAGCATTTATTTGAAGATGAGATTATAGAAATCTTTTGTAACATTATAAATGTTTTTTACTGTCACTTGAATCAATGTAATGCATCCTTGCTGAATAAAAGTATTAATTTCTATTTAAAAAAAGAAAGATCTTACCCCAAACACGGGGCAAGTTTTGACTAAAGGTACTGCAAAAATGCAGTAAAACAGTATTGTCAAATATTAAAGATTATCATTTAATCAAATAATCTTGTAGGATCTTGAAGGATCATGTGACACTGAAGACTGGAGTAATGATGCTGAAAATTCAGCTTTGTATCACAAAAATAAATTATACTTCAGTATATTTTCCAATAGAAAACAGTTATTTTAAATTAAATTGATTTTTCACAGTGTTCCTGTTTTTACTGTATTCTTTATAAAAAAATTGCAGCCTTAGTGAGCAAAAGAGACTTCTTTGAAAAACATTAAACAATATTAATTATTCCAAACTTTTGACCGCCAGTGTATATTTCTCCTGTTATATTCATTTTGGGCTTTAAATGTGCTAAAGGGTAACACTTTACAATGTGTCTCATTTCTTAACATTAGTTTATCCATGAACTAGAATTAATAAATGCTGTTTCTTAATCATAAAAAAGTGTTCCTTAAAGCCAAATATAAATAAAACAGGTCTGAAATAGTTTGGAAATACTTACTTTCTCATCAAACGGGTCAAATTTTGGCAAAATGTTGTCCTCCGTCTCCTCTGACAGCGTTCTGTGGGATCTCGGTCTACTTTGGCCTTTCAAAGAGTCTTTCCGACTGAAGGTTGACGGAGATAAATCCACTGCCAGGGCCATCTCAGCGTCTTTTCTACGCTGTTTTGCTAATGCCTGACACCAAAGAGAACCGACAAATCAGACGTGCATGACCTGAATTTGCAATGAGTATAATAACTAAGTTCTTGCAGTGCAAAGCAAAACATTTTAGGTAGTTGCTAGGAAAAGAACATCATTTCAGTCATTTTAAGAAACATTTGCAATCCAGCCCTGACAGCGACATAGTGTCGGTCCAGATCCGGCCCACATCTGGTACATGTGGAATCCACGTGTACCAGATGTGGGCCGGATCGGGGCCAACACAAAAACTTAAGGTCCAGGTAATTCTAGTTTATTTCAGACTGTTAAAAAGAATAGTTGTCGAATTACACTCTGTTCCTTGCGTAGCTGTTCCATCGCCAGCTGAAACTCTCTTTCTTTTGCCCAGGCTTCTGCGATGGTCGCCTGGTTTTGCTCCTCATATGCCATGGCCACGACAGCCAGGATCAAGTTCACCAGGTAAAACGAACCCAGAAATATCACCAGCACAAAGAAAATCATGTAGGTCTTCCCTGCTGACCGCAAAGTCTGCCACGGAGAGGAAGATAGCAGAGGAGAAGTACAGAGGTTTGTCATAATAATTAGTCTCTGTGATAAAAGGTTATTATGTGTTCAATGTCAAGGCTTGTACCTGATGGTAGAGGTTCTCCCAGTAGTCTTGTGTCATTAGTCTGAAGAGAGCCAGGAAGGCCCAGCCAAATGTGTCGAAGCTTGTGTAGCCATAGTTTGGGTTCCGACCTGTCTTTAAACAGTCAAACCCATCAGGGCACTTCCTGTGTATGAGAGAAACATGAAGATATTGAACAGCGGGAATGATAATGTGTAAGACATAGGAGCATATATCATTCTTAGAAGAAACGGTTATTTATACAACCTTAAAGGGTTCCCTTCAGGGAATAATTTTATGGATTAAATGTTCGTAAACATATTTTATCACAAAAAAAAAATTAGGGTAACACTTTATAATAACTATAGTGTAATAAAGTACAAATCATTTGCAAATTTTGTTTATAGTCAATTAATTTAATACATTAACAGACTATATACAAATTGTGAGTTCTTCATTCAACTGTAATTAACAAATTATTATTGTTTAATTAGCTCAAATGTAAAGAGTTTAATAGATAATGAGATAATGCTTTGTTAACAACTTATTAACAGTAAATAGTTCTCAGTAGATTAGATAATGGAAAATGACATTAATTAAGTGCTTTAAACCAACCTTTATTAGACATTAATTGCATTATTATTAAGAGTTTGTTAAAATGTTTACAAATAAAACATTTTAAAAGAAGTCTCTTCTGCTCACCAAGGCAGCATTTATTTGATCAAACACTAATGTTGTGAAATATTATTGTAATTTAAATATATATATAAAAAAAAATTATATTTGAATGTTTTCAAATATTATTTATTCCTGTGATCAAAGATGAATTTTCAGCATCATTACTCCAGTCTTCAGTGTCTTCAGAAATCATTCTAATATGCTGATTTGCTGCTCAAGAAACATTTATTATTATTATCAATGTTAAAAACATTTAACAGCATTTATTAGAAATAGAAATATATTTTCTTTCATTTGTGATCATTTGTGTGTTCTTGATAAATAAAAGTATCAGTTTCTTTTTAAAAACAACATAGTGATCCCAAACTCTTGAACTTTAGTGTATACATTTTTTATAGGATATGAAAGCATCTCGGACAGCACAGCAGTCACATGCGTTGAGGTCCCAAAACAAGATTATAAGTAGACAGATGGGTATCGAGTTGCAGTTAATTTTTTTCCTCCTGACCATCCTGAGTCCTCTTTCTCTCGGTTACCATGGTGACATTAAGTTTGAGTGACAGGCCAAGCAGAGGACAGACGCATGTCAATCTGACAGTGGGATCATTTAGTAATGGAACTGCCAACAGCTGGACAGCAGAGCCGCAAAACGAGGCCATCTGTAAATCTCTCGCACAAAGGCAGAGAGAGAGAGAGAGAGATTGTGCAAACATGATCTCCCTGACAATGTGTTCAAACACACACAGGTTTATATAATACTGTGCAGTACAATACCATGCTTACAACCTGTGTCATAGACAAGAGAAGTGATCTTACAGTACTGGGTTTGCCAAGCAGAAAGTTATCTCATGATTATCCTAAAATTCTCTGAAAGGAGAATAAAATAGGCACTAATGAGAGAATTGTTGACATGTCTTTATGCACTACCGTTCAAAAGCTTGGTGTCAGTAAGATTTAAATTTTTTTTAAAGAATGCTCAACAAAGCTGCATTCATTTGATCAAAATTACAGTAAAAACAGTAATATTGTGAAATAGTATTACAATTTAAAAGAACTGTTTTCTATATTTTTAAATGAAATTTATTCCTGTGATCAAAGCTGAATTTTCAGCATCATTTCTCCTTCAGAAATCATTCTAATATGCTAATTTTCTACTCAAGAAACATTTCTGATTATTATCAATGTTGAAAACAGATGTGCTGCTTCAAATTTTTGTGGAAACCATGATGCATTTTTTCTTTGATTAATAGAAAGTTAAGTTCAAAAGAACAGCGTTTTGATCAATTAAATGCATCCTTGCTGAATAAAATAATTAATTTCTTTACAAAAAAAGCCCTACCCCAAACTTTTAAATGGTAGTAGTGTATCTATACTTGTATATATCTATACTTAATTTTATATCTGTACAACAGCTGTCTTATTTGTATCTACTTTAATTTTTTCTAATAAGCTTTATAAGAAACATCTCAGACAAAGTTGATACTCATAAAACATACCTAAGAACTCCATTTAGTCTTATTATTTGAGCAATAAACTTTTCCTGTGTGAGGTCTTTGCAGACGTGGGTGTCCTGGCATCGCTGAGCACAGTTTGAGATCTTTTTGAGATCTCTTCTGAAGCTCTAGTTCTAGTGAAGATTTACTGCTGAAGATTTTAAAGATTACTGGGATCTTTTTCTCAGGAGCAACATCTAAGAAGCAGGAGACTTATAGGCAAAATTATAGGAGAAAAAACTGAGAGATTAATGAGATGTAATTTGTGTTTTTCCTTTCCTGTAGGTCTGGTCCAGTTCGCTGTCAATTCACAGATTAAGTAGTCAGGATTGAGGTTGCCATGAGGACAGAGGTACTCGGGTCTCTAGTAATAGTGGTTGAAACGATGGTTCTGCCCACTCACATGTAAGTGCTGACTTTTCATACCAGCTGCTTTAGAATTTAGCAAGGATGCAATCATTTGACAGAAGGCCAATCAAACATATATTTGTGTTTCTGTTAAACATAAACTGTGGCACCATTTGTGCTCCAGATGCAGGTGTGCTATTATTATATATTAAATATACGTGAGTAGGCTTATGATTTTCGCTTGGTACACTATAAAACAACCAAACAAATCTTATTAGACTTGCATTGAAGAAACCTGAGCCATACAGACCAGAAAATTCCTAGCAACTGCATAGCAACGCACTACAAACCACACTGAATACCTTAGCAACTGCATAGCAACACCCTGGAATACCATTATGGTCAGTTTTGCAAAGGCAAAGAATCATGTATTTTCGTAGCACGTTTTTTCCAAAGTGATGTGTGCCGAATGAGAGAAGTGAGTTATTGTGAATAATATGTGCAACTGAAGAAAACACATGCAAATGAAAAAAGCAAATTAAGAAAACATCTTCATCAGTTTGACAACACTTGCACACTTGCAAATACTCACAACGCAACCAAATACAGAAACAAGCTGCAAATACTCACAATGCAACTAAATACAGAAACTCGCTGCAAATACTCAGAACGCAACTAAATACAGACACACGCTGCAAATACTCACAATGCAACTAAATACAGACACACGCTAGGGGTGGGCGCTATACCGGTATGAACGTGAATACCGGTATTATGTTGTGCCATGATATGGATTTTGCGATACCGAGGATACCGTATTCATAAATTAAAATTTTGCAGTTATATTGTTTTGTTCAATTTGGTACTCTTTACAACTAACACTAATGACGATATAGAATCGAATACGCTGTTTAAGGAAATGGCTGATTTGGCGCTGCATACGCGTGAAGTTGCTGAGGCGATTAACCGCTGTCCTGTGACGCGTTCAATGAAGGACAGTAACGTAGAACACATCGCTAGTGCTAAGCGGCTGTTCATAAAGGATGCATCTTTTGCGGTGGAATGGGAAATAACAAGGTAATGAGACGCAAGTTTGACTTAACTTGACCGCAGCATTTTTAGAATGCCGTTTCATTTGCGAGACGCGTGTGCAACACCAAAACAAGTTCGTCAAGCACAAAAAAACGTTAAAGTTCTAGGCTACTGTATGTTTGAGATGTCATGTTTTCATGAAGGTTGAAAGGCTGAAAGCTGCTATAATGCTATTATTATCTTTGTTTTTACAAAACATTTACTGCTTATAATATTATCCACGTGGAGACATTTCCCCAATGTAACGTTAGGCTATGAATAACAGGACACGACACACACATAAGCGCGTGCATACACACGACACACACATAAGCGCGCACACACACACACACACACACACTGGTCCACTATCTTTGTGGGGACTCTCCATAGACGTAATGGGTTTTATACTGTACGAACTGTAGGCCTTTATTCTGTCTCCTTACACTAATGAATTAGTTTGTATGAAAATGTTCATTGTTTTTTTCTTGCATACTTTTAAGTTCTATTTATTTGGTGCTTTGTTCAATCTCAAACCATTATTTTATTTTTATTATTAAGATGTCTGCACAAGAGTTAACTGTAATCTGTGCAAACATTAAACTTAAATTAAACGTCTCGCTTTGGTCTACACTGGAAGTGCTCTGCTCGCTCTGCTAAAGCTAAACTACCAAAACTGAAACTAAATAAAATAAAAACTATATAGAAATGTGTTTGCTAAATAAAAACTAACAAAACCATTAATGAAACTAGCTAAAACTAAACTGAAATTTAAAGCAAAATTGAAAACGATTTTAAAATAAAAACTAATTTAAAAAAGCAAAACTATAACAACAGATATTCCCGGAGACAGAGCACACCCGAAGACGGCTCTCACTCAGAAATCAATAAAGTCTTCATTCGCTGCCGGTTCTCATTATGACAAGACGAGCAAAAAGAGGAAAGACATAAGTGCATTCAGGCCTACCTCATGTTGCACGTTTGCACTTTTTGAGAAAAAAAATGGCACAATAAAATGGCACACCTTTTTCTGGTTATCTACTGTTAAAATACATATTTTGCCTGTAATTTAACTAAGGTGTACTAAAATGTGATTTTTTTCTCATATCGCGATATAATATCGATATCGTCCGGACAGTGAAAAATATCGTGATATGAATTTTTGCTCATATCGCCCACCCCTAACACACGCTGCAAATTCTCACAACACACCCACATACAAAAACGCGCTGCAAATACTCACAACTCAACCAAATACAAAAACGCGCTGCAAATACTCACAACTCAACCAAATACAAAAACGCGCTGCAAATACTCAACTCAACCAAATACAAAAACGAGCTGCAAATACTCACAACTCAACCAAATACAAAAACGCGCTGCAAATACTCACAACTCAAACAAATACAAAAACGAGCTGCAAATACTCACAACTCAACCAAATACAAAAACGCGCTGCAAATACTCACAACTCAAACAAATACAAAAACGAGCTGCAAATACTCACAACTCAACCAAATACAAAAACGAGCTGCAAATACTCACAACTCAACCAAATACAAAAACGCGCTGCAAA